CATTTCCAGGTAAAGATTACTCAGATAAATGTTGTAGGGTTTCCTACATACATCTTGGTCATGCATTTTTGAAGCTTCTTATTCCGAAAAAATCCTGGAAAAGTCATGAAATGTAGTTTTCTGTGAAAACCCAGTTTTCACAAACAGGAGAGCAATTTAATAACAAGTTGAATCTCGTGTTTGATTTAATTTAAGTATTTTGATATGTTTTCTGTTATCTTTATATTAGTTAATGAAATCTGTTTGGACTCTATACACAGAAGTAATCTGCGAATGCATTTTTAATACATTTAAAAAATCAGAATGCAATTTGTTGTTGATTTTTTCATGAATCCTAAATATTGACTATTTTGTTGATATTTATATTGTGTTTTGAGATTTCCTTTAACAGAAAGTACTGATTCCAATGAACAACCTAAGAAAAAGAGGAAAACGAAAAAGCAACATAAAAAAGTATTATGAGATCAATGTAGAGAAAATATAAGTCTTAAAGTGCTGTTGACTGTACAGGATATTGAAAGAAACGTGCATCCATCTACATGTATTTGCTAATAAGTCATACAAATATGGTTTTACTTTAAGAGTGAAGAAACAAATGGTTCCCCAATCGTCCCGCCACTATCCATGATGAACCACCCACACTAAGGGCCAGGCAATATAAAGTACCATATCCGTGTCAACTAGCAAGCAGTAATCAATTCAAAGAAAATGCCAGATATTATAAGAGAGGCCATACACCAGAGATATCCAGTTATGGAATAGAACTTACTAAACTTAACAAACTATTCGGGAAAAATCAATCAGCAACCAACATACAGGGGGGCACAGGGGTGCATGTGCCCCCCCCTAACGGAGGCCCGTGCTCCCGGGTGCAACCCCCCCCTTTCAAGTTTTGAAATGGAAAAAAAATATAGATACCTAGTTCAATTATTTTCTGTGCCCCCTGAAAAAAATTGTGCACCCCGGGTGCCCCCTCAGCTGTGGCACCCTAGTTATGCCACTGTAACTAAATGAAGTTCATTATCTACTTCCCTAGTTGTAATTTATTTCTAATTTGGTAAAACTGTCAAATAGGACTCAAATTTGCTGTATGGTTTTGCATCCTCAATTAAGTGTGTTTATATCACATCTCTGATTTTGTAAATATTAGTGAAGCTATACTACCCACTTTTATTCTTTCAAAATAAAAAAAAATCAGTTGAATTTCAGCAAAATACTTGTTTATTTTGTGGTTTTATGGAGTCGAATCAATATTGGTGTGTTATTCGAAAAATGCAGTATTAAAAATCTATACAAACATGAAAGAATTGTTGAGACAATTTAAAATATACAAGGGGAAATGAACACCATCCCACTCCATCCCCACAAACACCTTGAATAAAATAGATAATTGAAAGTGTAAATACAAAGGAAAAGGAACATGTTCATTTGTGGAAACCTATAAACTTGTACATGTACATAATTAATAGACCTATATTTTTCAGAACCCAGCAAAAAGTACAGGGGACAATGTATGTAGCATCCCTACTCGAGATGGGATCCCAGAACACACAGGCAGTACTTGTACAAAGTGTTGCATTGTACATGTACATGTACAATGTACGTGTATTTACAGAAATACACAAGTGTCATGTACACATGTACTGGTAATTTCTTTTACTGTGTACATGTAAATGCAGGCCACTTTTGCCCCTTATTATAATTTTCTGTGACCAGTTTGTGTAAAATACTCCCAGAGGAGCCATTCACTGCAGCTAGAACTTATCTGGCCCATGGTTGACCTGTGGTTCTATGGCATAGTCATTGGTGGGGCAATGCCAAGTCAATAGACTGACCACCTGTACAGGCAAGTCTGGATTGGTTAGATGTTGAGTGATTGGATAGATAACTTTATCCCCAAGGAGACATGCTGCCATTAATCTTTTCTTCGAAAAGGATGTGGAGA